AGCAGGAAATAGGAGAGCAACATTCCTGATCACAGGTATCCTGTAGGCTCTCCAGGACTGCTTAGACTAATCGTAACTGCAACCTCCCATCAGTCATGGGGTGACAGGGTTCTTTGTGTCAGCTGCTGATTATCCTGCAAGGTCACAGGACTAGGACTAGGGTAGGTAAGAACAAGTGAACACCTGCCCTTTCCTCCAGGTAGCATTAGCTGTCACACGGACTAAAAACCCTGTACGTGGTGCGTTGAGCTGAGCTCACCTTGACACGTATCCAGAGTTCTTGACGTCACTCCAGCTGGTGTCTTTAACATCTCCACAAGTGGGCTCATATTTACTATCAGTCTGACACTGTGTTTCAGATTCCTTCCGCAGCTAACATGGGTTACCAAAACAAGAACAAAACACAAACAAACAAAAAAATTCACCTCCTTAAGTACTTGAGATCAGTCTGTACCCCTAGATATGGCATTAAATAATTTCAGTGTCAGTATCTCCAAAGACATCAGATATGCTTGAAGCAGTCTAATCTCCTTGCTGAAGCAGTTAAGCAAATTGTACATGGCAGCTGACAGCCTTCACAGATAGATTAAGCAATAAATTTAGGCTTTTGATTTTGTTATCTCATTAGTTATTAACTTTATTAATATTACTCATTGCAGACTCAAAACCAAAAGAAAAGGCTAGATAGAATAATACCCTCTGTATTCAGGATTCAGAAAAAAAATACTTACTCTGCTGTAAGGATGGGGATGGAAAAGTTTGCGTACAATAAAAGTTGTGGCCACAATGCAAAATATAATGGTGCCAACGATTTCTTTCCACCAGTGAAGGAGAAGAACGGGATCTTTTTTGCGAATGTTCTTGTAATTCGTGTCATCAAAAAATCTAACAGTGATCTGGGTGCTACGTTTATTTCTCTCTCTCTTGTAGTAGGGTAAGTAATAACCATTATCTGTGTATAAAAGACACAAAGAGGGCACAGATTTACTTGTAGGTAACTAGAAAACAATTTTGTCATCTCATTAATAGGTTTCCTCAATAGACAGAGGGTATTTTTGTTTGCGTGTCCCATGATTTTAAAGGGCACATAAGCAAATTCAGTTAATCAAGGTTGTGGACTCCATGGCAACTAGGTCTCCCATCAAACTTTACCACCTCCGAAGGCCTGACCACTGATAACTTTAAAGCAGAGTATCTTCCATATGGAAAACTTTATACTGCAAGGCTGAGTCTCTAGCACTGTGAGTAAATTCTGAAAAAAATAATTCACAAGCTTTTCCCACCGGGACCAACTATCAGTGGCAACGACAGCACACACAATACCTCTGCAGTAGCAATTCCTGGCACGCTGAAGTGCTCTGTGTGGCACTAATTGTACATACAGCACAGTTTGGAAATCCTAGTTTGGGCAATAATTTCCTGGTTCATTAAATGTTAAAAAAACAAAACAAAACATATTTAAGATCAAACAAATGGTAAGTTATTGAATCTCATAGATAATAAGTGGGTAAACCTGGCCATTTGAAACTTTTCAAAATTTGGGACTTCCACCTACCATACGGATACTGCAGAACTGACAGTGCTCCGTTACTGTACTCTTCATGAGAATACTTGTCATTGCTGAGACACTTATCAAACTCATCAGACCCCACCAACACCGGAGTCCTGGAAGGAGAATCTAAGCACAGAGAAGACAATTTGCTGAGCTAAATTGTTATAAAAATCCTATTCTTGTATGAATTTCATGAGAACTCCAATTGCACAATCTTAGAAATCCTATGTCTGTTGGACCAGACCATAAGAACCAAAATTAATGCAAGGAACATTAAGAAGGGTATTTTAAGGTAACTATTAGTTAACATCTCTCCCCCCATGCCAAAATACTAGTTTTGGACAAGTCAAATTCACTCATATTCACATCACTGCAAAAAAACTTTTTCCTCCTTTTATAGAAAAACTTGATTTAGAAGACCAACACTTCAGTATTAAAAAAGCCCCTGTAAAATCCGTAGTAAAAGAAAGCAGACATTAAACATTTAATTAGGAAAAAAATAAACAATTAATAAAGCAAAAAGATAGTTCCTGAACTGGTTTGCAGCTGGAGACATTAGACTAGTTTGATACATATTGGAAATCAGAAAGATGTCCTGTCTTTTCAGAGCTAGGACAGTAAATGAAACTCTGAATTGTTACTTACGGATTAAAGGTTTCCATTTGATTTTGGGAAGAGGAATAATTGCATTATCATTCCTGGATTCCAGAGCCTTTGGGTTAGTGGGGAATTTCTCAGAAATTCTGACTGATGACTGAAGATACAGCTGGCCCCTGTACATACCTAAGTAATAAACCATAGAGCATATTAGTCTTAAAATTTAGTTCTCTTCACCCCCAGCATAAAATTGCCCTTTTAAAATAAGTGGTTAACAACATTTTTGAAAGTGTTTCTTTATATTCTGAGAATCTGAGATACTGACTCTCATTACTAGGCTGGATGAATTCAAGTAATATGTTCCCTTTGTTCTAGAAAAGCAAGAGATCAGGACATCTCATTTTCACTGGTGGAGAGCAGAGGCTGCAGAAAAATACCAGCGATTTTTAAGAGCTATAAAGCAGCTTGGGCTTTGCATAGGTAAGGCTTCTTTCAAACTTCTTTCCTACCCTTGTTAATGCTGGTACAGATTACTCCTCAACAGCCATTACCAGGAAGGCTGGAACAATCTGGCTTCTTCCTAGTGTTATTCTTTACCTGTGTAACCACTAACAGGAAAGCTACAAGGTGTAAAGACTTCTAGAAAAAGGCTAAGGCAAACAAAAGTCTTAGAAAACCAAAGCACGTCCCCCTCTCAGAGACAGACAGCTGAGAGGAAGAAGGACCTGGGACCGCTCTATTTCAAATTGTCACAAACCACATCAAATGAATTCTGACAGCTGGATGAAAACTTAGTCACATAAAATCTTAACTGAAATTTCTTCATTGTAAGTTACTGTAATCAGCGTAGAGGAAAAAATGAATGTGACAAATTAGCGGGCTGGAGGGAGATATTGCTTATTCTTACTAAGCACTAAGACTGCCTTGCTAGTTATAAACCTATCTTTAAAAGTTTCAAGACTTTCAATCATCTCTGATGTACTGAAACTACAAAGCAGTGAACATTTCAGAATCAAAATGGAAAATTTTATGGTTTTGAAATGTTTTGGTTTTGAAAAAGGAAACTACAACAACAACAACAACAACAAAAATCAATCTTTTAACTATCACTGTTTAGGCTAAACAGTCATAGATATTAATTCTGCCATAGCCAAAGGTATACTGCACCTTCTGTAATTGTCAGAATTTCTAAGACGGGTACACGGAACTCTGACTTTGAATGACAACAGCAAAGATGACCAGCGCAGGCTAGGAAGAGACAAGAACACATCTCTACCTTTTGAAAGTCTTTAAATCAAGTCAAGGTGCCTTTCTGGGAGATATGTTAGTGAAGCCTCAATTTTGGGGCTTTATAAAGCAATGTGGGTTAAATTTAACAGCCTTTATTATGCAGAATATCAGACTGGACATATCACAGCTCCTGTTAACTGCAATCTACCAGTACAGAAAGATCTGCTTTACTACAAAGAAAAGAATAACGTTTACTACAGAAAATGCTGCAGTCAGTGTCTCACCCAAATAGACACTGGATTCTGTGGCCCCTCTAGCAGCTTCCACAAGATCTTCTTCATCTTCCAGTACTTCATTGTTTGCAGTGTAACTTGTGTCATCAAACAGACTAATTGGAATTACTTTGCCATCCTTAACCAGCCATGCGGAAGCAATTGGAGTGCAAAACTGAAGAAGAGAGAGTTAACTGGAAAATTAATGTTTTATTAACTAAATATTATATAAGAATAATGCTAAACAATGTGCTTAAATTCCTTTAGCTTTTGTAACACATGTAGCAGCTCAAAGTCAGAACTTCAGTTAAAAAAATTACAAGCAGATGTGTGCTTCTTTACAAAGACAGCACCTGAAACCCAAGATGAAAGACATCATCAATGATGCTGCAAAACTTCTACTTTTCTTACATTTCATATTCTGTCTTTTCCCTTACCTGGTATTCCCATTCCAGATGTCCTCCTCGTTTGTTAAAAGCCATCACCTTCCAGTCAGCTACCGAGACCTTTATTACTGTATCTTTCATCATAGCTTCCTGCTCATCCACATCTGAAATAATTTTTGTTTCTTCTTTGTTCATATTTGATTTAAAATTGCTCTCAATATATCCCGCTCTAGTTTCAATATCTGGGACATAGCGCAGCTCGAAGTGACCAACACTGAAATTCCACCTTAAAGAAAGAGAAAAACTTTGTAGAAACAACTTATATATTTCAAGGAAGTTCCAAATCCTCCACCCAGAAGATTCTTAGACTGAATTACCTATATTTGGCCCATATTTTCACAGTAAACGCTCAGCTTGTCAGCTGAACACAACTGCACCAGGAGGGGGAGTGCTAATCCAGAATACAAACCAAACAAGCTGAGAAATCTTGTCCAACATGATGGGTGAGTTAAGAAAACAGCTGATGAATTAGGGCCAACGGCATTGAAGGTTTAGTATATGGAGAGGGCAATTAAAATCATCAAATAGTACAGCTGGGTCTGTTTAGTAGGAAAATGTTATGTAGCTGATGAAAGCAACAAGTATAAAGCATTTAGGAAGCAGCATTCCACACAAGATATATTTCTCTTCATTAATAAAGCAGATTTAATTTGAAACATAACGTTTTTCAAGCTGAGGGAGGGACAATGCTTTTCTTTTTGTTTTAATCCCACACACAACCTAACACAGGATCTCTTTGACAGGCACTTCATAAAACCAGGATCACTCATGTCCCATAGGTTAACACCGAAAAAATGCAACTGTGTAAGGAACAGAGAGTTGTCTCGCATAGCCAAAAGCTCTTTAATTTGTGTAAACTGACAAATTAGGGCAGAAATTGAAAAATTATTTTCAGAAAGTGAAAGAATATTTTTTTTTTCTCCATGATATAGCCCAATGCTGTAGAGAAGACACAGATGGGAAAGGATGGCAAGTTTGCGTCTTGAACAGAAAGAAGGGGGAAAATATTTCTTGAACAGTATGTTTGGGTACCCAAAGCTTCTTAGGACCCATCTGGCAACCACCAGGAGCCTGAACTGTCTCCTTAAAGAATTTATGCCCTTATGGTAAAAGTTTGGCATATTTTATATATTCAGCTGATTTATTAAAAGTTTTTCTTTCTCTGGATTAAAACCCCAGATCTATCCTGTAAACTCCACAGCAGCCATACTGGGTCACCAGGAGAGCACCTCTGTTTCTGACTACAAAGACAGGAGGATTCTGGTGCATAAGACGTCACGCTATGTTTTTGAAAAAGATGTATGAAGGAAAAGGCGTGGTTTTATGACATACCTCTCCCTGCCAATATCTGTCTCCAAGAACCACGGAACCCAAGATTTCTCTTTTCAGGCATCTGATCTGCTAATCTACTGGAGTTCTAATTAGGTTATCTCTGATAGACTACAGATGCACAACCTGTCAAATCCTGCTGCAAACAGAAGAGGGAGCAGGCGTACAGGCAATGACTGGTTCTCCACTAAATTGCTGGGCAGTTACTGTATGGCAACCAGCCTTTTAAACCTGTATTTTATGCAGTGTTTTTTTTAGAAGAATACATGTCAATATTCTTATAGAAATCTTGATGTATTAAAATTTCAACGTGACAGCATTAGGAAAGTCACAGACTGAACCAGTTTCTACAGCTTGTAAAGAACAGACCACCTCGTTGTGAAATGAACAAAGTAGATTTAAGAATGGGACTTTTAAAAAGTAAGACTGAAGACATTTTAAAATATCAACTTAAAATGAAAGCTGAAGACATCAAGTATAAAAAAAAAAAACCAGTGACAGTTACCATGAGTAGATAAAGAACTTAAAAGTTAATCAGTAGGTCATAAGAAGACTTTTAAACTGTCTCCTTTTGCACAAAAATCAACAGTTGGAACAAACATTAGTGACATTTGCCTTGTGCAGTAGAGCAGTGAAACTCTTTTGAGGTATGCAAGGACAAGAAAAGTGATTTCCATTTGATTTAGAGGGAATAAATATGTGCACATATATCTTCTGTCTACTCATCTGTAAAATTGAAGTTCAAGACGTTTTTCAAAAGCACTGAAGAGCAAAGGGGTTAGATCCTAGCCAACAGTCTGGTGCATTCCTTTCGTTAACACTCTAAACTCCCTTGTGCAATTCCTAGTCTAATGAGAGTAAAAAGAAGGTCAAATCCTTAAAGCATTAGGTATTAAGAACTTCTCTATCAAATTGTTTTTGAACAATTCTTACACTTACTTTTCATTGCCACTGCGCGGTCCAACAGCACGGACTGTTTTCTGGGTTCGGTGCAATAGGAGCGTCTCTTCCTGCTCTGTTTCATCGTCATCCCACCGGCGACAGCCCATAGCTGAGCAGATGTACTTCACCTAAGGGACAGGGCAAGCGACTCGCATGTGCTTTGAAGTTCTGAAGAACTTCAAGACAAACAAATGCAATCAACAGCAATATTCAAAGCTAACAATCCTTACAACACATTTTTGGTTCGCAGGCGATCTGGGGCTCCTTGATTTTAGAGGATTGAATTTAGGGATGTTGAAAAGCATGGTTTAAGAGATAAGGGCTTTTCAGAACTAGAAGTTCAAAAGATTCTTGTAAGTCTACAGTTTGGGCTATTTTGACTATCTTTTCACTATATTTTGCACGTATTTCTACTTCTAACAGAAAGAAATCTCAGCTCTCTCTTATCCCACTATTTCTATGGGCACCGAAAGAACATTCCTACAAGACCCACAGCATAATTCTGCTTTCGTGCCGTATTTGTCTCAGCATAAGTCTATTAGCTTCAAATGAAGTGCTATAGATTTATATAAAATAGTGCAGAGCCTTTCCCCGTCTCCTTGTCAGCTATTAATGGGGAAAGCAGTCCTTATTCAACTCTCACAGGCACACACAGTTTGCAACAGTCCCAATCTCAAACAGAATTTGGATTATACAGGCAACTGTCTTTTGAAAAGCGAGTTGAACACACTTCCAGCAAGTCTGAATCGTACTGCCAAAGACAACAGACTGCCCAAAGTCTCAACGGGGAAGAGTCAGGCGCTGTTTCCTCTATGTGGCACCTTTGCTGCTGTGAGCATAAGCCAGGAACCAAAGCAGAAACCGAAATTTCCACTTCCTGAACACTGGGGGAGGAGCAGCCTGTTGGTGTACACTGCCCTCTGCTATCAATGAGGAAATCAAAATGACTTCATGAACTCTTGTTTTGGATCTATGCTCTTTATCACTACATCTGACATTGAGGGGGAGGGGGACGTCAATTCTAGGACTCCGAATAATGCAATTAATTCCTGTGCTTTTTCTAGCCTTTTTTTCTTCTGTGTTTTTTCAAAATATACAACTTTTAACCAATGGATTTCAGAAGAAAAATACTTTGTGAACCAGTCAGATAGCAAGCAGTTTTCAACTTAACTTTTGCATATGACTTTAAAATGTAAGGAGAACTTCTTCTAAGAGATAGTAAACCTGCTGACAACAACTACAAGTGTTAAACTTTTGCATATGTTGAATGTTTTTCTTGTTTTCAACCAGCTATCCCTCATTAGTTGTGAAAAGTCTGAAATCAGTGGTGGAAGAAGTGTGTCACCTAAAGCCTTCTTTGATATGCAGTAAGCTGAACAGCAAAGTCTACTTCAAGCAGAATGATATGATGAAGCTGAACGCCTCTCCCAGCTCGGTAGAAAGGGGTCATCCCTCTTTTTAGCCCCCCTTACTCACCTCTGGTCAAAAAATCCCTGTCCCTTCCCTTGTGCTGGCTCTGGCACTCCCCAACCCCTTGCTGAGCTGGCTACAGCTAACCCAGAACAAAACTAATCCAATAAAAAGTGAACAGTTTTCTGTCGGGTTAGCAAGCTGAATCAGCTTAGCAAAGGGCGAGACAAGCGGTAAAGCCAGCACAGGGGATACAGCAGGAGCTCGCAGGCAGGAGGAGATCCAGTGAGGGGCTCAGCCATACCATCTAACTGTACCAGCTGTTAGCCTTCCTCCAGCCCGCTGCATTTGTTGCCCAAGAGGCTCAGACTCTGCTCTTTTGTGCCGCACACTTGTATGCTTCAGATGTACTACAGTTTAATCTCAAGAGCAACCTATTTGCAAGACAGTGCTCAAAATGCACATACACAAGGCAACTTTCCAGGCTCTTACCTTCCCTGAGTATGAGCTCAGCCCATAGGTCGTCAAAGACTTTCCCCCAACTAGGACAACGTCCTCGCCAAATTTGTAGGATGACTCCAGAAGAGATTCAACTGTGAAAGGAACTGCTTCCATGCTCTCTCGATCCCGATCCCACTGGAAAAGGTCCCCATCCAAGGAAGGGATTATCATCTTATTTCCAAATACCTAAAATAATTGAATTGAAGGTTAGCTACCCTTTAACCACAATTTTATCAAAACACACAGATCACAAATGGAAACAGAAACGCTGTATAAGCAAGTACAGTGCATTATACTCCAGTATCCTATTTTATGGTTTTGTATCCCAGAGTCTTATTTTTCAAAGTTATACTGAAGACAGAAGACTTTCAGGCATTCAAATCAAATCCGTATTTCACTATTGTTAGTTAAAAAACGGTTCAGTGTGTGGCACTTCTTCCACTTTAAGCGAAACATTTTAAAGCTCAATGAGTTGATAGATTAGCATTCATCCAAACTGTAGAAAATAGGGTACAGGGAGAAGCATTCCTGAAGAGACAGTCGCTGGTTAAAGTGCAAGTCTCGCAGATTATTTGTGATAGTTTCAAGACAGTGGCATTGTAGGTAAAGTTCTGCTTCACTGCTGGTTTTTTTCCAGAGCTAGTTTACTGCTAAACACAGAATCAATCATTCTCTCTAGATCAGAAGACTGAACTTGGTTTTAAAAGAAAAGCTGAGGCTGTATGTGAACTCTTTTACAATCAACGACTACTCCAGAATATCTATCCTCCTGTAAAGCAGAGCGCGCAATTATCACTGAGGTCAGAGCTCACATTTCACGGTTGCCTTTCCAGACAGTTAAATCTAACTTCTCCTCCCCAGAATTTCTTGTGTTTAAGTATACTGTTCCTTTAAAACTTGCCCGTTTTTTTTTTCTTAAACATAGAAGTAAAAAAAAAAAACAAAACCAAAAAACAATCCTACACCACTACACCAGGATATGGTGTTTCATCCATTACACTGAGATTTTCAAGGAGATCCTAGTTCGGAAGGATGAGTCATTGTCAATGAGTACTAAGGGACTTATTAAGAAACTCATTATCAGCACGATACACCATAACTAATACTGTGGAGCCACAGTGGCTGTGCCCATCAAGAACAGTGAGAAACTGTAATCCACATAATCTTAGCTTTTGAGGATACGGATTAACATGGAAGATTTTAATGCTTTTTCAGAACCTCTGTTCATTTGGGCAGTATCCTACAACATAATTACATTAAATTCAGATACTTTACACATTAGGATTTAAAGACTACTTCTGGTACATGTATATTAGTCACTCCAAACAAAATATTCCTGCTCAGACTCCGAGGCACAGATGTGTATTACGAAGCCATACAAAAGATCCAGAAGGTTTCTGGTTATTATTTCTGGAACCACTGTGAGGATCTGAAACCACATCTTCTGCAGATTCAAATTCTCTCTAACATGAGACTTTCTATTCCTCTAACTGGGTCACAGACGAGCAAACAGCATTAAGCAAAGTTGGGATTCACCTAAACAGGGAGGGAAAGACAGATCTTGTAAACGCACGCATGGCATGACTAACGCCTCTTCTTAGACTGTTTGACACATCTCATTCAAAGACAAAATTTAGGTGAGTTACCCAACAATACTGGTGACTGTATTTAAGATCCCTAAAGGATCCAACACCGATGCTTTCTGGCTTTGAAAAGCCTCATGATGACTGACAATTAAAATAAAAACTCCTCTCAGGAGCACAATGTGTAATTGAAGAGATGATAAAAATAAACCCCTGACAGTAGCTGCAAAGTTCTTTGCAAAGCAAAACGAGGTATGTTCTTTCCCTCCTAGATATTTACCTTGTGGCAAAAAAGGCCAAACATCCTGGAAGAGACATTGCATGAGATCTGTGATGCACAAGAAATGTTGCATTATGGCCTACCATTGGGGAGGAAAAATACACGCGTGGCTCTATACATACGCTTACAGAAATAAACCAATGTAAATGCAAAAATTTGTGCAGGGAGGGGTTATTTGCAGAAATCACCTGATCAGTGGAAAAATAAAGCAAACAAAGTTTACATAAACATTCATATTCAAGAGCAGCCTTGCGATCTTGAGAAACAAAGGCATGGAAATTTTGGAAAATACCTTTTTAAAAACAAAAGATGCCAGTGCCAAATTTGCAGGTGTAACCATGTTGGAGTATGTTGTTAAAACATTCAACACAGAATAGTAATATCAGAAAATGTTTTTGTAATATATTCTTTCAGAAATACGTAATAATTTTGATGACAACTTTTAGCCTGTACAGCTGTTACTTTGCAGTAATAAATCCTCTGCAAGGTTTCTTCCTGCACATGGTCCAGATACCTGCAAGCAGTGCGGAGGCCCATGCTCACCTCCAGCAATATGAGATATTCCATATATAAATAAGAATGAACAGCAATAGTTCTTTTGATAAGCAGCTTTCCAAATATACAAAAGCCAAACCAGCTCCTGTACCCCTGTTTCAGCACACAGAGCCCAAGCCCAGCAAACCCAGCCATCAACTGACTTCAAGTCAGATCCTGTAGAAATTCTACTGGCCATCAGTCAGCTAATTTCATAGAGCGTGGTCAAACCAGAGGTGTGCCAGTGGCAGACAGGCAGCCACTTCCACGTTCAGACTTTCAGATATGCTTGCTGGAAGCCACAACCGCAATGGCTTTGCAACGCGGCATGCTCCAAAGGCTGCGGACCATCCCATCGGCTTGTGAAGAGAGGAGGCAGTGGTGCAAACCGCCCAGGAACCGCTGCTGAGCAGAGGAGACTCTCGGGGGGTAACTCTGCAAGCTCTGGGGACAGCGTGACACGCGTCACCTTAAGCGTTTCCCTTGTCCTGAAGCTCCTGCTCCAGGGCCCAAGTAGGAAATTTTCCACTTAGCAAACAACAGGCAAAATGTTGGCCATTTCTGGGAACCACACACCCAAATTCCCAACACGCATGAAGCTCACTCAGGAACACACGCTTGTACGCTCCCAAACTATGGGTCAAATCAGGTCACGGCTTATACGTCTGCAAAAACTCCCCAGCAGCAGGGCACTGCCTGCTCATCTGTTAAAACCTCGGTCCCCATAAGCTGCGGAGGACGAACGAGACCATTTCGGTCAGCTCTGCTGATCACCTGCCCGCGCTCCCAACCTTGAGGGCGCCGACGGGAGCAGCATGTCCTGCGTGACATTGGGAAAGAAAGGCTGAGAAAAGACACAACTGCTGTCGGTGAACACATCAGGAAGGGAGCACAGGCAGCAGAAAGAGCTATTGCACTGAAGGACAATGCCAGAGTACGAGCAGGTGGGGTTAAACTGACCGTACGTGCAAGCTAGACATTTTGGTTACTGACCATCAGAAACGTGGCATTTCACAACAGAAATAGAACAGAGAAGAAAAAAAAAATCACCTTCTTTTAAGATAAATCTATCTATAAATGGGATTACATGACATGGTGCTGACAAGCGACTGCACCTGGTTACCACAAAGGTCCACTTTTACTAAAATAGCTTTATTTGAAGAACGGGGCAGGTATGCAAATGTGCGCATTTGCAGGTGCGCACGTAACAAAAGGCACTTGTGGGCACTTGTGCTGACATCTTTTAAATGTGCAGTTTAGCCAGAGGCTTTAGAAGGACATTAATAACAACAACTCCTACCCGAGTTATGCAGCTCATTCTCTAGTACATCAGAAGCAGCAAAGGGACTTTCCTTGAAAGTACTAGCAACTAGCATCGGCATGCAGCTCAGGTAAAGGAATGACATCACCCTGTATCTCAAAAGCATTACCTCATCTCCTAATCCAAGGAGTGAGTCACCCAGGCAGTCAGCTGCAAATCTCTTGGCACAGAAAATGTAGGTTACCACGATGCACTTACACATTCCTCTGATCTGTCAATGTAAATAGCTATTTGTTCAGCTTCACTGGTCAGCAATATGGCACATAATTGTTAAGTGGCTTGTCTTTCAGAAGTAACACTTAAAAAACCCCCCCACATTAACTATCGAGCCCTAAATGAGACGCTGCTCTTTTGCTCATTAAGAGTTTGAAGCTGAAGTTCTCCATTGGCTCGGCGCGGGGTGCCGCAGCCCTATCAGCGGCGCTGGCTGCTCAATCTCCAGGCCGACGGGTGAGGTAATGCAGTTTCTAAAAAGCCTTCACAAAAAAGCAAAAAGGCATAACGATCCGAAATGGCATACGCTACCAGGGAATTTGCTGTCTAGACTCTTTACTGGAAAGGAGGGCACAGCACGCGAGGTTCCACAGCAGGTTGATTGGTGCAGGAAGAAAGCTGCTGATTTATAGCAGTAGAGAGGCAAAAAAAAAAAAAAAAAAAGAAAGAAAAAAAATCATGTAAACAGAGATCAAAACAAGCCGAAGTACTAAAGCTTCCATGAGCTGTTTAACAGTTAAGTGTGACATTCATTTCCCATGCCTAACACTCTATCATAGGAAGCAAAAATCAAGCCTGCTCACATGCAGACACATCTGAGACAAGGCTGGTGCCAAAACAGTCAATATTATCGTTTTCAGATGGGCTGAACTTTCCAATAACTCCAAAGAAACAACTAAACACAGGTAAAATATTTTCCTTAGAATAGGAAGTGCTTAATGTTTTTCTAACACTTCAGCTTGTGGTTTTCAAACCTTACTCTTACCATAAACTGCGACAGCTTTGTTCCACTTAATTAAGGCTAACCTATATGATCTTGAACGATAAGGGTACCAATTTTTTTTCCTCTATGATTATCTCTGCAATAGGATCCCTGTAACAAACAGGATCAAAGCCAGCTTCAGGTATGTTTTTAAGAAAACTACTTCTCAGTGAGAACTGTCTTTTAAGCCCCTTTAAAATAGGCAACATATTAAAAGCCACGTATGGCAGCTTCACTCTAAAGGGTAGAAACAAGAGTCCGCACAAACAAATCTGGGAAAGAGAAAGCGATCATTGTATGTTTCACACTTTTTTTTTAAAAATTCATAGGCATACAGTAATACAGGTATCCCTCCCATAAATGTTCATAGATTTTTCAGGTGAGATATATATACACACACACACACACGGCAAGGTCTTGAGATGTCCCCAGTTCAGGTTGGTCTGGAACTGCTTTATTGCCTGCTCTTTTTTTGGTGTGCGTGCAGGGAGG